TAAAAAAAAACTTTTAAATAGTTAATTTGATATTAATATAATATATATATTTCAATTTTTTTTTATATCTGCGAATTTATTTTTATTCAAATTTAAAAACATTATCTTTATTTAAACCGTATTATATATTAACAGAGACAAAAAATAAAACAAAACATTAAAATGAAAATGTATCTCGTTGTATTACGCGAATACACTTCCAGTCATTCATAATATTAGTAATCATATTGTTTTAATTTCATTTAATGAGTATATAACAACGTGAATTTACATGAATATCATGGTTTCAGTACCAAATCACTTGTTTGATTTCATAAACACTATCATGTTAAAACCCAAAGATTCACATTTCACAACCTTTTTATCCTCTTCAAAGTTTCATGATGTTTGTTTGTTTACCTCTTAATATTTCTATTAAGAGTCAACCTTTGAATCGTTAAGAGATGAATCTTGTTAGATAAAAAAAAATTGTCTCCTAATAGTTCTAAAATCCTCTGAATGATTTTGTATCTTGGATCTTTCTTGACCATTAGAAGCCCTAATTTCATTATATACAATTATCAAATAATTATATATCATTTTGAACTATATCACGAAAGCCTCCTAATTATTCTAACCACTTAATCATTATGTACCAAACCATTCGTTAATTTCCAAATAGCCCCTCACTTCTTTGTTGGTACCAGGTTCCCTCTTCTTCAAAACCTCATTTGCCACACTTCAATCTGTTCCACGGTGACATCTCCACAATACGGAATCCGCTTAACGATTGGGGCCAACGTGGACCAGTAAGCACTACAACTCTGCTCCATCTCTTCCTTCTTCACCTCCAACTTCAAATCTGAGGGACCCACTCGTTCGCCATTGTAGCATCCAAAGGGACCTTTTTCTCCTCCACTTTCTGCACCGAAAAACCACTGTATTGCTCCGACAACTCATTCAACGCCTTATCTTGCCCTTTCGAAGCAAACGTCAATCCATAATTCAACATATCATCATCCTTCTCGTCCTCCTTAGGAGCCCGCATCGAGAAAAACTAGTGAGATTCTTCTACTGATGAACACCCTGTCGAGGCTCAGGTGCCTTTCCCTGTTACGACAATGCAATTCATCGTTACTCACAAACCATATCATACAAATTCACGCTCAACTCATCTCCAATGCCCTTACACAATCACCATCCATTGTTGCCCAATTGATAGAACGTTACTGTGCATCATCAGCACCACATGCCACCATTTACGCCAGCCTCTCAATCTCCCAATTTTACCGTCACAATAATGAACGCAACGCGTATCTCTTGAATGTTTTAATCAGATGCTCTCCTCCCGGTGACTCCATTCTTGTTTTTGCTGATTGGGTATCGAAAGCTAGCCTGGATTTTGATGACTACACTTACATTTTTGTTCTTGGAGCTTGTGCTCGACGGGCCAAGTCATTACGGGAAGGGCAGCAGATACACACCCGAGTAATTAAACATGGGTTTCTGTCGAATGTCATGTTGCAAACTACCTTGATTCATTTTTATGTGAACGACAATGCATTTGTGTTTGCAAAGAAGGTGTTTGATGAAATGCCTGTGAGAACTACTGCTACGTGGAACTCATTGATAGCAGGGTATTGTTCATGTAAAGAACATGCACTTGATGGGTTGCTATTGTTCGTGGACATGTTGGTCGGTGATTGTGGAGTGAAAGCTAACGGCACCACCATGGTTTGTGTTCTGTCAGCGGTTTCACGGCTAGGTTATCTTGAAACAGGCATTAGCATTCATGGGCATATCGTAAAAACAATGTGTGACATTGAGAATGATGTTTATATAGGCACTGGGCTTGTTGACATGTACGCAAAATGTGGGTGTCTGGATTCAGCTTTAAACTTGTTCATGAGAATGAAACATAAGAATGTGTTAACTTGGACAACCATGGTATCTGGATTGGCAGTTCATGGGAAAGGAAAACAAGCCTTAAAGATTTTCGATGACATGATAGAATCCGGTATTTTACCTAATTCAGTGACGTTTACAAGTTTGTTGTTTGCGTGTTCCCAAGCAGGCCTTCTCGAGGAAGGCCTTTATTTGTTTCACAATATGAAAAGGGTGTTTCATATTTTGCCTCTTCCACATCATTACGGGTGCATAGTTGACCTTCTTGGACGACTCGGGCACTTAGATGAGGCATATGAGTTCATTATCAGTGAAAAAGTTGAAGGTGATGAGGTTTTGTGGAAGAGCCTGCTGCATGCTTGTAGAATACACGATAACGTTGTGATGGGTGAAAGAGTGGCGAAGATTCTTTTCTCGATACAACCAGAGATGAATCTTGAAATACCATGTGATAACAGTGAGGATTATGTTGCTTTGTCTAATATCTGTGCTTCTGCTGGAAGGTGGGAAGATGTAGCTGCAGTGAGAGAGGTGATCAGTGTTAAAGGGATAGAGACTAAACCTGCTGTTAGTACTGTTTTCGCTTAGTTTCCTGTTCTCAGTAGATTCACAAAGGGTATGTAAAGAGACAAGAAGCCATATCTGGTCCCAGCAAGACCTCTGCCCAATCCACACCATAACAAAATCGGGTTTATACAATGCCAAAAATGTTTAAATGCCTTAAAGACTATTTTATAGGACTAACCACAAGAGTGGTGTCCGATTGGTTTGATCTTGGGCTCCAAATGCGGTGACTCTAGGCTACCCGCGAAGCGGTTGGTCGTCCTAGAATTAGTCGGCTTGCATAGCGGGTTGGATATGAAACCCAAATAAAGAAAAGCCAGAAGGGAATTGTAAGAAAATGAAGATGCAGATAAGAAAGATTTCAGGATGGCTTGGTGCAATGGATTGCAAGAAAGTGAAACCAAAAAGGTGGGTCAAGAATCAACATCAACGAGGTTCAAACAAGTTGTAACAAGATCGGATTTGGTTTGATGAATGTGGGTACCACACAAAAAGCTATCAGAACTGAACCAGTTAAGCTTCTCACCTTAATTCAAACATCAATAATTTGATACTAAACTATAGTGAAAAATATTTAATTAAAGTTTTATTGTCATCCAATTAAATTATAGTTTTTTATGCTGATTTGGTTACTTAAGAAATTACTTTGATTTTATGTATGACATTGAATACTAAAAACAAAATGAATTACATTTTTGGTCCCTCTTCTATAACTGCTTTCTGGTTTTCATCCCTCAAATTTGTAAAAGTACATTTGGTCCATTTTTGTGTTTTGGAGCTCAAACTAATCCCTAGATTTGTGATCGTTAGGCGTGTCATATGCCCCTCACTGGATATACTACCGTAAGAAATTTACTAAAAGTCACTGGATCTTCAGAAAAGATAAGCTTGAAATCACTACAATTACAAAGAACCAAGTACGAACTACAATCTGCATAAAGAAGTTATCAAAAAAATTGGATGTACAAAAGGATTATTCAACATGTATCAAAATTAGGGTTTTTTTATGTAATGATACAACAACTGGTTGAAAACTTCGAACAATCATTATAAAGATGAAATTTTGGGTAATTACAAGTATGAAAAAGGACCATACCAGAAAAGTTTTCATAAATAAGAGACCAAAAATGTAATTCATTCAAAGAAAAGAAAAAACAGAGATTTTAGATTGAATTACATTTTGGTCCCTCATCTAGAAAGACCGTGTGGGGCATATGCCACACTTAACGGCCACAAATCTCACTGTGTTATGGAGGGACTAATTTGGAGCTTTGGACTCTAAAACACAAAAAATAGACCAAAAGTATACTTTACAAATTTGAGAGATGAAAGTCATAAAGCAACCATAGACGAGGGGCCAAAAATGTAATTCACTCAAAAACAATTGATAAAAATGGGCAGTCTACATGAAAATTTTTTACACCAAATTAATTTATGACTAAATCTTATACATATTATAAATAATAAATTAATAATATTTAACACACACACATATATATATATATAATATTAGGCGAAGGATCATGTGAAAGAAGAGTTAAGGTGAGAAGCATAAGAAGAGATCTGGACCTGTGATCATCTTTAATCTCAAACTCATTCATGAATCGCGCTTGATATGGGGATTGATCTAGCGCATCTCATCCTAACGTACATCTAAGGATGTAGATCCTTTCTTACGCTTTTCACCTTGACCATCCTTCCCACCTTGACAATAACCCCATTTTTTGCTAAATTAAATGTGAATATACAAGTCAAAAATAAATAAAATAACATTTGACACGATAAAAACAAGGCCAAGGTTCTTATACAAGAGCCAGTGGAATAGCCGGATACGAACAAACTGGTGTTACCAACACGGACCCGTAGATAATCGAGTGAAATAAATTTGATCTATGGGCAACATCATTATGGAAAAGGTTGGTGACTCATAATAATCCTCCACTAGGGTATTAACTTATAAGAACCTCCCATTATGGATGTTTTTGAGGTACAACTTTTTGATGCAAGTTTAACCAACATAAGGTACAACATGATGATGCACATCAATCTTAAGATGAATTTTACAGGCAACAATAGCCCACTAATGGACACAACATTCTGTCAATTTAGGAAATAAAAGATAACTGTACAAGATATAGTCTTAAAGGGCACAGATTGAAACCCACAAAGAGCAAATTACGAATAGAAACATAATGAGCATAGATATTGCTACAAGGCACGAAAACTGTCGGCTTTCTCAAGTCTTGCAGTACCTGAGCTTGATGTTTCCCCCATTGCATCTGGAGATGCAGCTACTTGCGATGTTTCCCTCTTCAGCGAAGCTGGCATCCCCGATATCTCCTGAACAATGTCCCATCAATCAATACTTAAATTCACCCAGACAACCTATCAGCAGCTTTACCACAGCTCAATTAGCAAATACAGGTTCAGGGTCACTGGTGATTTTTCCCGGCCGTCATCTCAGGGACCCATGGGATTTTTCCGGCTGTCATCTTAGATACTCTTATGAATTTAGATAGTGCCTCATATTTGATGAGATTGAAACAAGCAATATATTGATATTGATGGTAGAAAACATATTGTATAATGAACAATGAATAAATCCTTGTTGATTTAATCAAATTTTTATTTAACAGTTTAGCAATTGCATATTCATATAGTATATGAAAACAAATTTTGGGAGACCAAATTTTGACCATAAAAAGTGTACAGACCGATTGGAAGACCAAATTTTGTAACTGTTCATAGTTTACAATGTCTAAATTGTGTTTGACCAGATATGAGCAAGAACAACTGTAATTCAAAGTACCTTCATTAAATGCAATCTCATGTCACAAGGCCGAGCTTGAAATCCAATACATGCCATCACAAAATTTGAATACTGAAACGTAACATCTGCAGCACTTTGCTTCTTTTGCTCAACCTGCAGTCAACATTTTCAGTTTACGGATGCACCAAGGAAGAGGAAATAGGTGACAGAATTTTAACACAATTAATGTGACGTGAAACACATCCAAATCCCATAACCACCCACAGCACATGAAATAACTCATATTAATGAGCATAAAAAGGACAGATACAGAGGTACCAATTCACAAAGATAAAATGCAAAGCCTGCAAGAAAAAAAAACCATCCTCTTCACATTCTGAATCATATTTACTTTCTGAAAACTAATCAACCATCACCTAATTGGTAAAGACTTGGGTTTGCTCCCCGCTGATCAGCGGTTCAAGTGCCCTCGAGAACACTAGAGGTTTTCCGGCCTGTTAACTAGACTCGAACACTAGAGGTTTGTCTGGCTGTTAACTTCAGTTGAGGCAAGGCGCACGCAAGCTGGTCCGAATACCCACGATTATCCAAGAAAATGATCACCTAATTGTCCATGATATCTTAAGCATAAACCACTACACAAACACTAAACATGCAGTGTCATCTAGAGTAATATGGAGACTACACACCAGAAAGGCTTTGTTGCTGAATTAAAATGTTTAAGGAACAAAGCCTACATAACCATTGATCGCATAGACAGTAGTATTTCTCTGAGTCTTTCAAAGAATCAACCATTCAAGCTGAAAAAGATACTTCCTACATCTTCAGATAACAAGCACCTTTAAGCTTCTGAATGTCAAACGAAGTATATTTTCCAAATACAGCAATCTACATCATCACTACTTTATCACCCAAATTTTCCATTTATGATTCAGTAAGGTTATCGATCTTTTTAATTTTAGTGCAAGAAGTCTAGAGTCTGCATCATGTTCAAGTTTAAACATAACTTCATTCAAAATAAAATGGATTTTGGTTGTTCTGTGAAGTTACATTGAAAAAATTACGATTAAATCAACCCTCCCCTCAAGCGACATATGAAGATAACACTGGAACCAAAGAAAACCCTAACAAGCCATAAAAACAAGTAATGAAACAGAACGAATAAGCAATTCGAATAAGAGAATATCATGGATACATACAAAATCATGTAAAATGAAATCTAGGGTTTTGCAGATACGAAGAAAACCAGAAATCCTTTTGCCAAAACTAAAGGGATAATTCATGGGGAACGATACAAAACCTAGGTTTTTTCGTACCTCGTAATCGTCATTCATTATCGAAAACCAAAAGATTTCTGGATCTCCACCGAAACAAGTCGATCATAATCTATAAACGTCTACACAGATCAAACCACCAAAAATCTTGAATTCATTCCTTATCGGTCGGGCCTATTAGCTCGGGTTGGGGTGGATATCTTGATTGAGGTGAAACGGGTTTTTGGGTACCCACTTCGGTTGACTTGAATTATAGATTTTTTTTTTAATTAACCTGGATATCCGAAGTAACCGTATTTGAACCTTCATGGCCATAAGAGGATTTTTATTCCTCATTGGATTTGAACCTGAGACCTTCTGGTACTTTTGACTTTTGGAGTCAAACTCAAACCAATCAGTCACCACCCTTGTGGTTGAATTATAGATTTACTAGAAGGGTACTCGCGCAATGCAGCGAGATACATCGTAATTTTAATATTTCATTTTATTCTTTATCTCAGTCGATGTAATAATATGGCTTTATGTGATTTTGAGAAAGCGATGATGTTTTTATTTTTGAATAAAATATATGTTTGAAGATATCATAAAAATTTGACAAAAATAT